AAAGCTCAGCCACAAAACGGAAGTAACAGAAAAAAAACGTATCACGGGCAAAACAGTGAAAAAAAGTAAAAGAAAAAAAAAGCGGCTTTAGGCTTTCTGGAGATCAAGTTAGATTTAGCTAATGACGGGTTGCCAGCGTGGCTTGACCCCCTAAGTAGGGGGTTTTAGGGACGATTGGGTAATTCTTGACCTCTGTTTGACCTCATAAATAGGAATTCTCATTCCGCCTTGTGGGAGCTCTGGAGCTAGTAGGTTCCTGCCTTTTTAACTGTGGGTCTCTCCTCCTTTTCCCCTGCGGCAGTGGGCGGGCCTGGGCTCGCGGCTGGGAGGGGCCGCCACGCCTGCGCCCTCCCGGGAGCCGCCCTGCCCTGGCTGCTGCGGGCTGCTCTGAGCCCGACTCCCTCCCTTCCTGCAGCAGCCTTGCCACGTGGTAGATCGGCGACTTCTGGGAATGTGAGGGAGCTGCACTCCAGTGAGGGCCACACCAAGAACTTTTATGGCTAAGTTAATTAAGTCAAACTTTCCTTGCGAGTGACTGCTTAGAGGAGACAAACCCCTACATGTTCTCTAAGGCAAGAAAAAAATAAGGTGACAGAGGGGATGTACCAACTCGCCAGGACAGAATGAGCTGCAGTGTATTCTTAGACTTTCTTGAAAATCTTAAAAACCTTAAAGAACTTTCTTGCCTATTCCTTCTTGCGAGGCGTCTCTAGGGTGAGGAAGAGAGGGTTCTAATGAAATGGCCGCGAGCCTCAGCACCCCAGCTTTCCCGAGACTTCCTGCTCTTGGACTAAGGAAGAAGACAGCAGCCTCTGTGGCCTGAACCTCTCTGAGCAAAGTGCTTGAGCAAAAGGAACAGATATCTCTCCTTAGAGTGTCAGAAGTCCAGGGGGCTGTGACTGGAAACAGATAAAGGAATCTCAAGGTTGGATCCGACCACGACTGAGGCTTGCTGCTTGTTCCCTGACCGCCCACCGCCTGTGCAGTTGAAAAGTGTCCTGACAGGTTGATAGACTTGGTTTCAAGGTGTTTGGACCTCTGAGCCACTTAATAACTGCGAGACTGTAAACAGGTGAAATCAAGCCTTGACACCGCTGGGGTGGGAGGAGAGTGGAGGTCAAGGTCCCTGAGCTGGTTTCCTGAGAAGTCTCACCTAGGTCAAGGTCTGAATGCAATTTTTGGTACCAGTTATGATGGCTCCGCCAGCTCTCCTTCGTAGTAAATAAATAACTACCATTTTAAGACATAGGTCAGTCGTGGGGGTGGGGTGCACACCTTTAATCCCAGCACTCAGGAGGCAGAGGTAGGCAGATCTCTGAGTTCCAGGACAGTCCAGTCTACAGAGTAAGTTCTGGAACAGCCAGGGCTACACAGAGGAATCCTATCTCAAAAAAACTAAAAACAAACAAAAATAAGCAGCCAAAACATAGGTCAAAATAAACACTTAGAATTATATATTCATAGGATCTATTTATTACTTATTTACTTTATAAGTTATACAGAGTGTGTTTCCAATGCAAAAAAAAAAATCAGACTCTGGTACCCTCTTTAGAAGAAAGCTTATTTTAAATTGAAAATTCATTTTACTAAAATTTATTTATTTCTATAATTCTATAGAATTGTAATTTCTATAATTCTAAAGTCAAATTCTAGAACATATTGCACCTAAAAAGGCTTGCCTAAACCTCTCTGCCATCATCTGGTTTCTTCAGGTTCTTCTCTTCTTTATCAGTAACCAGTTTCATTTCTTTGTTACTTGATTATGAAAATACAACTATACTATTATTGATTCACGAACCTACAGTAAGTTGAGGGCACATGATGTATATTTTGAGTGTTTTCTTCAAATGGCTGTCGACTTGCCTAAGCAATCTCTCTCTTGCCTATGGTTCCCAGGGGCTGGCTGGAAGAGCGAGCCTGAGAGCTGAAACTGTGGAGGCTTCAGTTGACCCCATAGTTTTCCCAAGCATCGACCTGACAAGGCTTCTAAGTGCCTCCTGGGATTCTTGCCCGCCACTGATGGGGGTTGCCAGCCACCTTCACAGAGAGAAACTTGCCTAGAAAGAGGCCACAATGAAGTCAGTGGCAGGCATGGGTTGGAGTACACGGATCCACTCCACTCTTACTGGCTATGGGTTTGCTTTGGAGAAAGACCCCCACACACACACAACAGAGCTGGAGCTCTTCAGAGGTTCCCCAGTGTGAACAAGGCAGACCAGCTGCCAGGCTGAGGTAGGCTACAGGATCAGCTTTTGGCCCATCTGGACTTCAGCCAAGTCTGTTGTAACAAAGTACCACAAACAGCAGAAGTTTGCCATTTTGTGGTAATAGATGCTGGGAAGTTGAGATTCTGTGCACTGTAGAGCCCTTCTGGGATGTGCGAGGGATTGAGCTGTTCCAGAACTTTCTCCTTGGCTTCTATGTAGTTGGCTGTTCTCTGTGTCTTCATATAACTTGTCCACACATCTTCTGTCTTTGTCTATAGTCCATGTCCTCCTTTGTGTAAATAAGATTGGATCAGAGTCAACCCTAATGGCTTCATTTTCACTTTACCTTTGTAAAATAAAACATCAAAGAAAAACAAAGCTATGTTCTTGAAACATCATTCAAAAAATTGTAGGTGAAATCGAGTATTAACAATGCTGCAGCAGCAGGCAGCAGAAACACTGCAGTTCCCCAAGCAGTGGCAGAGGGCCTTGTGGCGGCAGGCAGCGGGCCCTGAGAGCAGTCAGTCCCAGGCAGGGACAGCTGCAGGTCCCAGAGTGGTAGCTCCTCTAGGGTAGGGAGACACGTGGTGACGGGCAAAAGACAGAGACATGGATGGGCATGCCATGCAGAGTGAGGTTGGATATTTATTCAGCTGGTTATGGAGGGGGAAGCAAGAAGGGGAGAAGAGCAG